CCCGGCACATGCGCACCGCGGCGGCGCGCGCCCGCGGAGTGGCACTTTTTAAAAGTGCAGCCCCGAGGCCAGCCCGCAGCCGCCAGCACCTCGGTCCGAAGCCTGGTCCCGCCCGTCCCGGCCTCAAGCGCCCCCGTCCCACACCAGTCCGGCCCAGGCCAGTCTAGCGCGCACCATGCCGGTCAAAGGAGGCACCAAGTGCATCAAATATCTGCTGTTCGGATTTAACTTCATCTTCTGGGTGAGTGAGCGCGACTGCCGCGCGCTCCTCTCCGGGGCCACCTGTCCGCCCCGGGCACCCGGTCCGCGGTCGGGGTTGCCGGTCGCCGGCATCGCCTGCGCAGGGGAAGACTCCTGGCGGGAGGAGAGGGCACTGCGGCCGCCAGCTGGCTCCTCGGCGGGGGCTGAGACGGGCTGGGAGGGCGCGTTGGTCCGGGGCTGGTCCGAAGCGGGGCGGGCAGGGGGCGCGGGGCCCTAGTGAGCCGGGGGTGGGGGGCGGTGTTTGCTCCCACCCCGATCCCCTCCGAGTGCAAGAGGGAAAAACGGAGCACCCGCTCTGCTGGGGACTCAAGGCCCTGCCCAAAGGGGACTGTGGCGGGCAGTGCAGCTCGTGACCCGGGTGTGGTCCCCCCGAGTGGCCGAGGCCGCGGGGAGGGGAGGATGCGGACCCTCCAAGGGACTAAGGTGGCGCCAAAGGAGCTCAGTGAAGGTCTGTTGGCACCTTTACGCCGGAGAGCAAGGGGCGCGCCGGTCGCGGGTGTCAGCGTCCCGGGCCCCGTCCCTGAATGAGCGTCGGGAATCCCTCCTCCACCCCCGAGGAGGAAACTTCAGGCCCCATGCTCTCAGACTGATTCTGAGCCGGCGTGAGAAAGTCCAAGCTCCGTCGAAACTACCTGAAAGACTAGCTTGTCTTGATTTTTTTTTTTTTTTCCCCCGAAGAGTGATAAGTATCTGAGCTGGAGAGAACTCGGGAGAGTTGGGGAGGGGTGGGGCAGATGCCTATCGGCGCCTTCAGTAGGATGAGTCCTCTTGTTTCTCCATTTCCGGGAGAGATCAGGTGCCGGCCTCACCCCCTTCCCCGCCAGCCCACCCAGCAGCCGGGCGGGGCCACAGGGAGTGGACTGTCACCTGGGGAGGACGCAGGCCAGGGAGATCAGGACTCCCGCTGCCGGCCATTCTCAGCCTGTCTGCAAATGGGAAGGCAAGGCCGGCAGCAGGGAAGGGGAGTGGCCCCTCCGCACCTCTCCTTGAGGGATTAAGGGGCCACCCGAAGAAAGAGGCAAGGAATAGGGGACTTTGGTGTCCTGGTTCACGGGCCACATCCCCTGCTCACAGGTGGACAGTATTTGCCCCTTTGCAGTCAGGAAAGCATTTGGAAAGGCAGGCCCTGTGCCACTCTCGATAGAGATGGCTGTAGAAGCAGGGGCGAGCCACCAGAGGCTTGTAACAAAAATGTGCTTGTTTCCTTGGAGCTGCTTTCCCCATGAACCCCCGGGAAAATCTCCTGAGGTTTAATCCTCTCTCTGGAGCTGATGGGGTATGAGATTGACCTGCCCTTGCAAGACTCATCACACCCAACACCTGCTCTAGTGAGGACAGTGCATAGGTGTGCCCTGCCCAGCCCGTGGCCTGCTCTAGGGCGACCCTCCTGTGGTGGGCACCCCCTCCTCCCGGGTGTCCCTGCCAGCCAGCTAGCTGCCAGCCTTGGCTACGCCCCTCTCCAACTCCGGCTCTAGGAAAGAACGTCAAAGGCTAACTAGCCCCGCCCCACCCCGCCCTTGTCCTTTAAGGAGTTTTTCTCTCCCTCCTCCCTAGCACCATCTCTCCCCTGCCAGTCTCTTGGTTACTCCTCAGCTATCTGCCTAGGCTGTGTGAGGGTTTGGGGCTTGGGGACCCACGGACTCCCAGGGTGCCTCCATACCCCCCGCCCCATGGCACCTGCAGGAGCCTGGCGGGAGGCTCCCAGGCCACTCAGGTATCTGCTCAGCCTCTCACTGACTCCTGCCTGCCACCCCACTGTATCCAGACCTGCCCCTGCCTGCGCTAGGTGCTGGTGATGGGCTGTGTCATCTGAAACAGAAATGACTCATTCTGGGAACGGCTGGGTATAGAATTAGAAATGACTTTTGAGGTGATTCACTCCAACCTCTCCTTCACAGCGAGGAAGCGGGAACCAGAGAGGGGCTGACCTGCCCAGCGGCACGGGAACCCAGCCAATACCCCAACCCCTACAGGTCCCTTAAGTCCTGTCCTCTTCCGTCTCCATCACGAAACCAACAAGGGGACCTGGTAATGGGTGGTGTATGGGCGTCAGCAGTAGCTTCATGTCTCTGAATCGTTTATTGTTCAGTCGTCCTGTATTCAGGTCCCTGTAGAGATGAAGCCCTCATCTCCCTCCTAGGAGGTGTTGGAATAAAGGAACACCATGATCCCCTTGTGCAGCGTGTTACTCCAAATCTCATTGTATAGCCAGAGCAGGTAACATTACCCCCATTTTACTGATGACCAGGAAACTAGTCCCCAGAGAGGTTCCACGACTCAGCCAGGGTCATGTGGCAGGATAGCATCAGAGGTAAGTTTGAAGGCAGGTCTGGTTGGCTCCAAGTTCAGCACGCTTTCCATCACCAACTGCTGCTGTACCCAGCTGAGTGGGAATGAAAGGAGGGTGGCAACAAGCTCTCAAGAAATAACTTTTAAGAGAAGCTATGACCTGAGGGAACTGCTTGCTTGGATTGTTATGATGTCATCACTTCCCTTTCTCTCTTGAGACCAGGAATTTATAAACTTGGTGTTTGGGACCTGATGTGGGCCTTGAAGAGCAGGAGTTGGGAGGCTAGGGGCCACCGGTACCTCATGGATAGAGGATGCTGAGGGGGTGGTCCAGCAGGGATCCAGAGAGGAGAAGCCCACCTCAGCGGCAGTGGGGTGATTGGGGCAGGGGAGGGGAGCGGTGTACCTCTTCCCTGGCCCCCAGTCTCATCCCTGTGGGACCCTCAGTGACAGCAGAGCCTGTGCTGCCTGCCCTCCCCAAGTAGGGCCTCTGGTGCCCACAGCTAAGCCAGCAGTCAGGCTGTTCTTCCAGGACCCTAACTTCCCAGCTCTGTTTCAGTTGTTTCTGGGTTTCCTTCAGACCTCTTTGCCTACCCGCCCTCCAAAAAATTTCGATGGGGAAATTTTTTGGCATTTTTACAATTTTACAATGCCAAAGGGGGCAGCCTCAGCTGTACAGTGGGGAACCGGGGCTGGTCCAGGCCAGGAGCAAGGCCTTCACATTCTACCCACCCCCTCACCCCTTTGTTCCCTGCCTCTCACCCCGTCTCCTCCCTCACTGATGGGAATAGCAGGGAATTTCTCTTTCCCAAGACATGGTGTCTCGCAGGCCTAAGGCAGGCTTCACGGAAACATGGACAGAGGCCTGGACCAGAGTTCAGGGACCTGGGCGTTAGTCCAGCTCTGCCCCCAGCTCACTTTGAGCAGGTCACTTTTGAATTCCAGACCTCAGTTTCCTCATCTGTACAACCAGTGGGTTGGAGCAAATGGTCCAGAAAGGTTCCTTCAGTAGCTCAGTCTATGAAACTAGCCCCACCCCCAGGGCCTAGAGCAAAGGACATTCCCACACAACCCAAAATAGGAGTCAGGAAATGGAAGCGTGCAGTGGGTACCCAGGCTTGACCCAGCGTGGCTTCATTTCACTCAGAGGCCTCTTGATGTCTGGGGCCTGAGCCGTGCCTCTCTTTCCTGGTAACCCCAAGTTCCCTCCACTCCCCCTGGGTGGGGTCTCTCTGTCTGGGGGGGTTCTCTGTCTTGGTCGCCCTCAGCCTTTTGTGGCGGTGCTGCCTAGCGGTCAGAGTGGCTCTGCGTTGGATTTGGCCGTCACCGTGTGGAGCTGGTGCCTACCCCCTGGGGTTGCCGTGGGTTACATGAGCGCATGCGTGTGATGCACTTAGCCTCCTGGATGAGGAGTAAACTTCCAGCTGTAGCTTTTGTCATCCCTGTGTGGAAAGGGGGTTGAGGAGGTGGGGAGGGTGGGAGCAATGGCCTGGGGAAGTGTGGAAGTTGAAACCAGAGAGAGGTAGCCGGGTGCACACCCCACATCCACACACGTCCCCCCTTCTACTTGTCCTACATCACTGCCAGCCTCGTTCCACCACACACCTCTGCGATTCCCACCTCAGGACCCTGACTCCATTTCATGTGGGGCAGCCCCACTTCTGAAAATAAAACTGCGTGCGGAGAAATCCGGAATGCGGGGTCGGGGCGGGGGATGGGCGAGCGGGACGGCACTGGCAGAAGCCCCTCCCACCCAACCTGCGGCTTCACCCAGAAGCTGTTTGCCTTCAGTGCTGGACTGAGCAAGCAGCTGCGGCTCTTGCGTGAAATGGCTTCCACCTTTGGCACCCAGACAGCCCGAGCCCTGCGAGAGCCGGCTGTGTTTGCACAGAGGCTGGCAGGTTTGGGGAGGCCAGGTGTCTGCATCTGCTCAGGAAAATAAGACTTCTCCCTGCCCGGACTCCTGAGGCTTTCCCCCCACTTTGCCCCGCGATGGTTGTCAACAACAGATGGGACTCCTGATTCGGGGAGTGGGGAGGATTCCTCTGCACGCGCGCACGCACACTCACCTGGCACCATTCCAGACCTTACCCTCTTGTGCTCAAAGGAAGCAGCTGCCGGTTCAGACCTGAGTTTGGAACTGCTTTGATAAGAAGCCCTTTGGAGCACTTAACTCTGCTAAACGAGGCTTCTGCGGCTTCAGACCTCACGCATCACCGTTCTCACATCTTCCTTTTGTGTCAGATGCAAATCTTCACTATTAACACACAGAGCTGTGTGTCCGTGTTCGATTTGTCTGTTTTCCTGTTCGATTCCATTTTACAAGGAGGCACGGTTTGGGGGATTGGTTGCACAGTTTGGGACTTAATAATATGCCTGGGACTTAACAAAAGCACCGTTTCTGCCAAAGAGCACAAGCCTTGACCGTCTTTCTTGGGTGTGTCTGGTTGTGAGGGTGAGGGACCCGACGTCACGGGTTACGGTGGCTTCTGTGGTCCTGTTGCCTCCTTGGGGGCTGCATGTTCTGGAGAGACTGGGGAGAGGAGCGCGAAGAAAAAGTTTCAGGAAACTTCATGTGCCGTGTTCCTGCCTCCCCCCGGGGGCGGGGTCAGGGGAACTTTATTTGGAGCCGCCTCAGGTCTTTTCAACCAAAGACTTGCAGAAACCGTCTTTTCCTCTTACTTACAGAAG